GTGGCGCCTAGCAATCAAAATGCCATTGCTGCCTGGACGGGCTATGTCCCAGGGCTGCTGCTGACGACAACAACAGTAGCTATAATCAAATTCTGTCACATTTAAAGCACTTTTGACACATTTTAAAATCAGATTTTATGACCAGAAAACGTTCGGCAATAAAGCCAAGCGCAATGTGATGATAATAATAGGCAGAAATTTGGCAAAAATTTGCGTTAAGGGAGCGATGAAGACAATCACAGTACCAAAGACTGGCTGAGAAAATGGAGAAAACAAGAACAACAACAGCATTAGCAGCAACCATATATGTTTTGGGAAATCCGAGCATGAAGGAACCCCCCCTCAACACATATACTCAGACACACACACACCCACATTAGTATTATCTGGTCGTGTTGCTGTCGAGTGTACTTAAATCCAATTGACAATTTGAAATTAAAATGCCGAAAAGTACAGCACATGACCGCAAAAACAAAACGAGCTAACGAAACAGATGCAGATGCAATTGCAGCTACACAGATACAGCTACAGATACAGATATAGATAGAGATACATACGCACATACAGGTTCAGATACAGATTGAGATAAATAGAATGCTACGCTGCGCATTGCAAACGCAGCACATTTCACCGGACAAATGTGTACATGGAAGGGGGTGTGTATGTGAATGTGTGTGTGTGTTTGCACATTGGACTGTATATGCCAGGAATAGAAATTGCAATGTCAGCAATTGGCAGCAAAGCAAAATCTAAATAAACATTGTCACAAAATGCAAGCAACTTACTGCGAACCAGGTCCAACATGCTGCCCCTCAGCTCCGGTGGCATTCCAGAGCAAAAAGGGTTAGCGAATACCATACCCACCAGCTAGAACGTCGCCCTCACAAATGCTTGTCAATAAAATTGCCAACAGATCCAAGTGGTTCGGGCGTGGGCAGGCAACATGCGGATGGGTATCCATCCGAGTGTGCACTGCCAATAGGTAGTTAGGCAGCACACAGCAGACAAGTGCAGATTTGCATTTCGCTCCATGGCTGCCATGTAGCGATACGGATAAAGATACATTCAGAGACAGCTACAGAGATACAGACACATCCTGTTGCTCGACACAGAGTTGGTTTTCTCACGTTTATGCCAATGCCTGGCACTTGGGACTTTTGTCGTTTGCTTTATAAATAAATGCATTTTCATTTGCATGCCACGCCCACACATGAAACACTCGAAGCCCACCCCCTGATTTGTCAGCTTCACGCTCCTCATTCAAAACAGTTCAGCTCAGCTCGACTCAATTCAACCCGGGCCTTCTTATCTGCCCGCCACTCTTGTTCAAATTTCCATTAGAGCTTCCGGCTTTTGTTTGCCTTCGCAGCATTTTACCTTCAGGCTGGGCCGGCTGCTTTGTTAACTTGGACATTAGTCGCCGGCACCTTCTGCCCATTCGGCAAATACCTGCAGGACATAATTTTAAAAAACTTACTAACATGGTATTAGAGCTCTTTCCACCCCTCTATCCATGGAGCTCCCAGCCGCATGCGTGTTGATTAGAAAAGTTGCTTTTTGTATAAGTTTTACAACTGTTTGAGCACAAAAGCATGTAGCTATTCTTATAATCGTTAGATTACAACAAACTGTCAGCTATTTAAATGTTCTCGAGGGTGTTGAAAACGACGTGCTGTATCTGGTTTAGTCATGTTCTGGAATGTACTTTTGTATCGTTACACTTTTAGCATATAATTCCAATCTCAACTCAAACATTTCCTAACGAGATCGCTCCACAACGCGATACATAAAATCTCCCTATACCCATTGAATTGTCTAACCAATAAGGTATATTAGTCATGTCATGTATGTAACAGGCATAAGGACGCAGCCCAAATCTAGAAAATTAGTGTGTTTCTATTTTTATCGGCATAAAAAAGCGAATTGCTGACGTTTCAAAAACTAAATTAACTAGAGACCTTTTGAATGAAGGTATATATATGCATATAGTTTTAACCGATAAATGGAAGAGAGTTGGAGATACTTGTATACTATTTGCGAACTTTCGGATAATATATTCAATTCCTGAAAATTTCGTCAAGATCGGACTGAAAACCAATAATTTATTCAGCGGTCGAATACTGTGGGAATTAAGGATGTAGAAACGAAATATGTTATATTAGCCCGACAAACTGTACGGGGCATCTCACAGTCGGACACTCTTGACTAGAGAACTCACATTTGTTTGTTTGCATTTTTTATTACTGACACATTTGAGGAGCACTTCACCTTTGAGTGCATTCAACAACTTTTTACAGTTAATATTTATAGTTCATTTTTCATCCCTTTTTGTTTTTGTTGTTGCATGCAATAATTTTAACAATTAAAGTGTAAGGAAAAAAAAACCAAATGAGGCCATGACAAAACAACGACTGCAAGTTGCAGCCCTGCCTGGCGCGGGGATGGTGGCTTAGCCTGGACTGGGTTGGGGCATACACGCCCAATAACCCTTCAGCCTGTGACAAACCAGCAATAATCACAACAGCAGCAGCAGCAACAACAACAACAACAGCTGCAACAACAACAACAACAACAACAACAAAACAGGCATTAAAAAGTCACCTTTGCTGCCAGGGGACGTGCACCACACTCTCGTTGTCCGCCCTGGCTGTCCTTTTCAAATTGTCATTCTTCCTGTTTTATGCCAGTTGTTGTTGCTGTTGTTGTAGTTGTCATTGTTGTTGTTCCATTGTAGCTGCCAAACTAATTGTACGCAGCAAAAAGTACAACAAATATTTTCTGTGTAAAACATTTGAAAAATTCCCGTAAGGGGCAATTGCACTTGGTGACAACAGCAACAGCAGCAACAACAACAACCACATGAACTATGACTGCTTGAATGAAAACTTAACAGGACGCAGGGCGCAGGACAAGGAACGAGGCGTCGCTTCAAAAGGCAACCTTAGTCTTGTTAGTATTGTTTTTATACCCTGTACGCAGTGAATATTTAAAGTGATAACTTAAAAAAGAAAGGTGTCACGAGAAAACAGCGGCAATCCCCTAAAGAGTCGCTCCCATTCCCTTTGATCGCTTTACAAGGATCTGTGAACGAATTTATTTGAGAGGTGTTTAACATATTTCTCGAAATCCTTCCTCCTTGGTTGAAGTGGCGTTCAAAGATTTAGTTTGTGAGGTTTCCGAGTGTGATTAATTTCAACGAGTCTTAATACAAATTCATTTCAAACGTGTTTGACACTTTTCGAAATATTTCATCCTGCCTGGGTGGAAAAGGGACGACTTTTTCCTCGAAGTTTTAAGTTTCGTCTGATAGTTCAAATTTACTTTTAAATCCCTTAAAGTCCATTTTTAAACATCCATGTAAAATTAAAATTCTTGTGTGATTCCCCAATTGAAGAAACTGGGTGTAATTAAGGTTTTAGATAGTACGGGATAAATTTATATGTCTATCTAAAGGCAGGCATAGCCAGGTTAAAGTATGTCCGAATGCATGTTACGTCAGGTACAGAGTATCTCTTAGTGGGCCACTCTCACCCAGATCAATGTAACGTTTTATTGCTGTAGTTGTTCGGCACGCTTTACAAATTAAGCAGCATAAATAAAAATATATATGCATGTATATGAAAAGCGAGTATTTTTTATTGTGTGCACGCAGACTATTTATGTTCTCCCTAACCCAACTACACCTCTATTCGAATTTGCGCCCCCTTGCCGAATTTTATTGTTGCCGCGGTGGAAAATTTAAATTAGAATTCAGAAGCAGAACAACACCAAGAGCCAAATGAAACGCTATAAATTATCGCATCCTTTTTGGTGGTTGTTGTTGTGTTGTTCTCGCCTCTTAGCTCTCCTCCCCTCGGTCCACCATCTGGAGCAGGTAAATTTAAATGCGATTTGTTACGGTTTTGGCTTTGTCGTAATTAAAGGACATCCCAAGCGCAAGAACAAGTCTCATAAACTGCGTGGTTCGCCGTGGGAGGTGGCAGTTTAATTCGTTTTGCATTTTATATATGGGGTAAATTATTGTGACAGGTTTTCCTAATTTATATATTATGGATTGAACTATCCTTTACTTTAGTCTTTCATAGTGGGTATGGTATATTGCAATCAGGGGAATGTTTGAAATCGAGAGAAATTAACTCCACAACTTAGTCAGGACGACAAGCTGGTACGCAAAGCAGGTTTGGAAACATTTTTTTATGTTTAATAGTTCATCAGATCTAAACAGATCGGACAAGAAGCTCCGAAACTACTCAGGAATACAAGCGTTGGGTATTTAATTAATTAAAAGCTTTCCATCCTTCTGTCTTTCTTTAAAAGCATTCTTAAAGATTTATACAAGAAAAAGGTTGATTTCAAGAAGTTTCTTAAAGTTGCGTTTCACATCGGAGCAAAAACACTTTCAATTCCTCTCGCTCAGAGATGACAAAGGCACAAAATAAAATTGGAGAAAGTCTAAATTGCGTTGATGACTTAGGCAACCTTCGCTAATGACCCTGGCCCCACGATTTGCCTTTAATCGCTGACCAAGCAAACCAGCAAAGCGACCCGGCTCCAGTGCGGTTCAGTTGCTTCCTCTTCTCAACCTCAAAATAATGAAATCAACGCCTTGGCACAGAAAAAAAGGTGATAAATTTGGTGCTTAAATGACACAAAGTCAGAAATTCTCGACAAAATATACTTTAATGAATTTCATAGCCGCTCGTCGGGCTGCGGTTGGCACTAAAGCGACGACTGCGCCTCAAATTTGTCTGCCTATGTTGCGCGGAGATAATAAAAAAATAAAATTATCAACGTAGAAAAATGTTAATTTACATGAAAAGTACTTTTTTGCTTAAAATAAATTATCCGCCTTGCCCCAAGCCCTCAGCCCCAAGCCCTAATGCTGATGAGTAGGAGTGAGCAGCAATCAGTTTCATAAAGCGTTGATTTGGCAGTTTTTTGTTTGGGATTAAAAGTTGGCGCAGAAGTAGAAAACATCAATATTGAATAAATTAACTTACTTATATGAATACATGAGTGCAGGTCTTGATAAATTATTAAACATACCTGAAATGAAATAAGAATTATTTTTTTTAAGTTTATTTTTTGACAGGTTGATAAAGGCCTTAGGTTAAGGAATCAAATGCATTAAAGGTAGAAAAAGATTGGATGCATAGATTTATTTGATTACATTGATCTGATTTCATTTTAATTCACGTAATTTAAAAATTATTCTGGTTTTTAAGGGTGGTTTTTAATGTCGGCTTTTGTAAAGAGCTGTATTGAGTGCATAGATAAAAAGGTTGTTATAGGTTAGTAAATGTAGAAAAATATAGTGAGTATGATATGAGTGTGTCGCATTTAAAGAGACACATTCAATTTGGTTTAAACCAATGAAGTTTTCAAACGTTGAAGTACACGAATGTAAGCCACATCGCACACACCACACGCACTTCACAGGCGTCTCGAGCGACTAGCAAACGATCCATAGACAATAAGTCAACGATTCGAAATAACTAGTTGCAACTTTAGTCCGCCTTCTGGTTCTGTGCTCGTGGTCCTGCCAACTAATTAAAAGGCTACAAACGCGGCTGGCTCTGGTGCTTTGGTGTTTGGTTGACAACAACAGGAAGATGGCAACAGCAACAAAAACAATGGGCAAACAATGGGAAAGGCAACAAACAAACAGAGAGGCGACTGCGGCGCAGTTTGCTGTGATTTAATTAATTTCAATGCATAACGTCAACTGTGAAACCGGAACCAGAGACTGAGCCCAAGCCAGTGTCTGAACCCAAGCCCAAACCGGAGCCCATAGCCGGCGCAGTCAAACTTGACACCGAAAACCGTGCCCGAAAGAGAGCCTCAACTAGCCGGCGCAGCGACAGGACAGGAGCGTTAGGGCAGCCGGCAACTGGACTGGAAAATTAAATCGAGTATAATTTTGTGTGACTTTTTGCTTTAAAGTCTACGCTATAAATAAAGGCGAGCCCAGGGATGACAATGATGAGTGAAGTAGAAAAGAATTTAGATAGAGAAATCCTGCCAGTTGGACTAGTGTAAAATTCAGAGCACAAAACAACAACAACAACGTCATCAAAAACCTTAAAGTTTTCTTTTTCCTGGCGCTTGCTGTAAACATTTTTCCGCAACATTGCGTTTTGACTTCAATTAGCATTTTTGCATATCCAGGGGTGAGCCGCTATTGGTGAGGGTATCAGTCGCAGGGGTTGACACGGGCAGCAGGTTCCCCTTCTCTATCGACTTCTAGTTATTATATCCTGAATCCTTTGAAATAAGGTAAGAAGCAGATAATGCTTTTGGGTTCGTTTTATGTAACTTGCAGAAAGAAGCATATCCGACGCCGATCTAGCGATGTTCTTTCATCTGTCTGTCCGTCTATATGAATATGTTGATCATGGAAACTAGAAAAACGCATATTCTTCTGAGCCAAACGAAAAATAATTTAACCATTTTGTATCGACATCTCGTCTCATTTCCAAAAATCTAAATATATCCATTTTGAGAGTTGCCATTTTAAGTATAACTCCAAAGCTATTAGAGCGACATACACTAGATTTGGTATGTAGGCTCTCGTACAGAACATACAAATCTTTAATATTTTACTTTTTGAGTATAAGAATACAGCACTCTTACTATTAAATAGAAATACACAGCAAGTCAAAGCTTTAGGACTCTTGGTAAATCAGAAAAATAAAACCGATGAAAAATAACATGTATGCTTTTTGAGTATTTGTATTTGTATTGAGTATTGTATTTGGTCGATATGGACATCCAACGAGAAAGACGAATTGTTTACCATTTTTCCAAGAACATTCGCTCTTTAACCATTTGGTATTCAATATGCATTGGATACCAATTTAAATTTGTATAAGTTGTGCATTTAAAATGTAAAATGCTTAAAATATATTGAAATTTTGTGTTGTGCAACTGCTAAACAAACCAAAGAGCCTTCCCCAATTTAATGTACGTTGTCAGTGGTTGGATTATTTCTATTGGCATCTATAGAAATTATGCAGGCAAATTTATTACAACACAGAATTTAAATGAGTTGAAATCGTTGTCATTGTTTTATTTATACAAAATGTGTACATTGTTGTTGCTGCAATAATGAAAGTTACTCAATTGGAATATTTCAACTTATGTGCTTAACACGAACATACACACACACACCCGCATACACAGAAACACAGACACGAGCACACAGATACAAGAACAATGAAAGTGAACATTTGACAATGCAGCGCCATCCCCGATAGATACGATGAGCTCTGCTGCAGCAGTACCCATGGGAATCGCCAATTTATGCGCCACTCTGGCCACCACCCTCGGGCGATGGCTAGGGAGAGCCTTATGGCTGTGGGCCCCCATTTCCTGCGAAAGTCCGCCCGTCAGGGTGGCAGTTCCTCAGACCATTAGTCAGTTGTCGGTCCTTTGTTGACTTCATTCAGTTTTGCGGTACATTTGTTTTGCACTTTTGCTCAGCACTCACATTGTTTCTTCCGGCGACATGTTGGACTTTTAACTGCCCAGAAAGGAGTCGAAGTCGAGCGAATACTTTTCGGTTTTCGTTGTCAGATGTCGTCAATAAAGTGCCAACCAACTGAAGGTCAAAATTAATGGCAATCGAAGGAGTTTAACTCAAGAATTCGTCCTTGCCCTTGGCTCTTGTTAGTGGCAAGACAAATGCTGCGGTTGTATGTTGGTCGAATATATAATATTGTGCCCGATTGCTACCCAAAAGAACAGTAGGATTTTATTTGAGACTAATGCTCGCATTATTTGGAAATTGAAGAATATACTAAGCAATGGAAGCACACGATTTCGCATATTTATTACATTTACTTCGCTGCTCTCAGCGGACCTTAAAGCTTGGCTCGAAAGCAGTGTGATTCACTTCAAGCTTAATTTTCACACAACCTGCACACAAAGACAATCGAAAATGTCTCTAAGAACTCTATTAAAAATCTTTTAGAGCTCTGAAGTACAAAGCCGATGATGGAGTAGATGCAGTAGCACCAACTCGAACAGGAGGCAGCCGTGCACAATAGGGTTGAGTCCCAAAGTTGTCGCCTTGGCTATATAAACCTTGCGCCCAGCAGCAACAACAATGGCGCTGCAGCAAATACAGCCAAGACGAAGACAACGGCGTTGCTGCTGCTGCTTCTATGGATGAATATATTTGTGTTAGGGATAAAAGGAATTCAGTAGGGCTTAAAAGTGCGGATGAGTGCCACTTCATGAGCAGCACAAGGAGCAAACCGACGAAGACGACACACGCGACAATGACGAGGACGAAGAGCAGCCCCAGGACGAGTATGACAATGGATCTTAGAGGTAACCGTTCAGAGAGCTGGGGCTATGCATAAACAAAGCGCGCGAAAAGCGCTCAAGAAAACACCGAAGAGTTAAAAATGACGTTAAAGTAAACAAGATGAAAATTAAAAGCAGGCGACTCGGCGCAGTGCCAAGCAGAAGCAAAAAAAAAAAAAAACACACAGGCTGTGTAAGGATTTGATTTAAAAATGGAGTGGTATTTAAATAAAAACCTTGTTGCATATTTACAAGCGCTTGGGTGAATGTGTGGAGGCGCCACGAGCAATTTTAGTTGCAGCTTAATTGTCACTGGATGCGCGGGAAACGGAGCGCTGTTCCAACTATGAGGGTACTCTATTTTTTGTTCATCTCTTCTTTTTTTGCCGCGTTCGGCTTTTGTGTGCACTCTCTGAATAATTTAATACAGCCAAAAAGAATGTAAATGTGGTTCGTTCTACAAAATGTTCCTACCACCCATATATTTTTTCTGGTTGCAAGAACCACCTGTGCAAGATTATTCAGGGAAAATGTCATAGCACTTTTTTTTTGTCAGCTTCGTAAAAATCTTGCTGTGCTAATGAGCAAGGATTTTAAGCGTTGCCCTGGTTTTGCTTGCAAAGCAAAAGAGAGAATAAAATGTCACGAGCAAAACATCATTATTTTAAAGAGCAAAAAAATAAACAATAAGAATAATGATAATGATAAGTTAATAATAAGAAGCAAGTAATAATAATAATAACATTAATTTTAACAATAATAATAACTAATCGACGGTTGGTAAAAGATATTTGAAGTATGGCATGTCAAACTTGTTTTTCATGACACATTTGAATGCAAATTTATGCAAAACGTGTCAATGTGCTAACAAAAGAGCAAAACAAAAAAAATATATACATATATACCGACTGCCGGCAAACGTGCGACTAAAACTTAAAAATGAAAAATAATCCCAAACCTAGGCGCCGGCGAACGTGCAAAGTCAACTGGGAGCTGTGAAACTGTGCCAGGGCACGGCTAGTCAGGGTAAACCAGGTTAGAGCAGGACGTCTGATTGACGCGGCCAACAGTCGCCTCTCTAATCCGTTAATAGAAACATTAACGAGGCATTTTTCGAAAATTATTTCAAGCACGCGACACCAACCAACGAGCCAACCGACGAACCCCACTAACCCACCAATACACCTATCCACGAAGCCACCAAGCTACCAGCCAAGCAACTACCGAGTAAATAAGTTCTGGCATGTTTAAGTCAGCTGGCTCTTCAGCACGTCAGTCAAGTTCAAAGTGGAATCGTGTAGCCTACAGTGGCTGTTGTTAGTGTGCGAACGCGATTGGCTTCTATGGAGAATTGGCGGCAGGCAGCCAGAAGAGGCCAGTCACGTGACGGGCGTCGTGAAAAACATTTTCATTTCGTTTTAATTTGGTCGATCGTTAACCCTTTGCCACTCGCTTTTGGGGTTGACTTTTCTATTGGCAACGCTGCTGCTGGTGCTGCAGCTGGTGGTGCAGCTGGTGGTGCTGCTTGAGGTGCTGCTGCAACTTCAGCTGGCAATCAGAGCGCGTCATTTTGTTGCTGCTGCAGTTCGCCTGCCTGCCTGCCTGCCTGGCTGCCGGCCTGCCTGTTGGCCTGTAAAGTTGAAGCAGCCCTAAATAATTGCATTGTAATGCGAAATAGCTGCCACCCAGTGGAGGCCCCAAGCCGTACAGCAACTTTTGACCTTTCCACTTGGTTT